CTATGGCACATAATCTTTCTCACCTTTTAACATATTGGTTTCTGTAATTCTATAAGGGAATAATGCTGAGTATTCAATTGCTATTCCAGGGTGAGACTGCTGTGGAAATTAGAGTTAGGTCTTTCAAAGATCAGCTTGTTCTTCAGTTGTTTATAGATTTTGACATTGTTAACTGCATTGTTGGCATGTTTTATAATCCCTTGTGATTTATATATGCCTTACATGTTTTCTTCAATTTTTGTCATAGGAAAAAGATGATCACAAGTGAAATTCTCAAGGAATGGCCAGAATCTAACCCTATACCTACATTCAGATCAAATTACACAAATGAAATAAGACAGCTACAACAGTTTCAAGAAAGGCTTGGTGATGATGAAAAATATATTTATCCTGAATGGTCTCTTGGCAAAAATGCAATTAAAGAAATGGTTTTAAAACACATGGCTGAAAGAAGGAGAAAAGTAAAGAATGCAAATATATATCACTCTGGGTACACAACTACAGAAAGTGAAACATCCTCTTGTGATTCTCCTCCTTCTACATTGTCATCATCTCCAGAACTAGACAGCAAGAGAAAACTATGGAAAGACTACTTTAACCAAGGTCAGCATTGACAAGATGACACTTAATTACTGGTCTACTCTGGTCAAGCACAAAGCATGCAATTGAGATATCGAATGCTCAAATTGTAATCCGTTTGAAATTAGAATAGTATAGCTTTGATCTGTGCCCACTTTGTGCCTCAGTTGCAATTTGTTTTGTGTTTGGCCATATGCAGTGATAGAAGTGATTTAAAGCCCTGCTTATGTKCAAGCAAATTTGTCCCGCATGACATGAGCTTCGACTTTTGTGGCAATTTTATTTTTTTGATAGAAAGCTCGAGTTATTAATTTATGGTCATTAATCTTAAAATGCTGATGAGTGAATGTGAGTTTAAGTCGACTTTTTCTGAATTCAGATCTGACACAAGCAAGCTGCGACACAATTATCTTGGTGSCCCTCAACAAAGATCATATTCGTGATATACAGATGATGAAACACTTAATGCCCTTAAAGAAAATTTTCAAGCTATCACTTCTTCGTGGGAAGGACAAAAATATGTTCATTAGAGCAATTGCTAACAGCATGATGATTGAGAACTACATCATAATTGCTGATGATGCCAATTTGTCAAACTTAAAAAGAGAAGATGTAAAATGTGTAAAGCAACTGTCTTTTTGAGCTGATGAATAGTACCAACATTTGCTGATGAAATTTTGAACATTATCACTCTTTTGTTGTGTTATAATATTATAACTTATAAGCTACATGATGTGTATCTAATGGAGGACAATACATTGGATAAAGGAGTCTTTAAAGCTACATGTGGACATTGACAACCTAAGAAGTTTGCTTGCTGTTGATATTTTGAAAGCAGTAATTTTGCTGTAAAGTTCTGTTTGTCATGATTATACTTCTATTGTGTTACAAAATTACTCAGTTACTGGCCAAAGACAAATAATTTATCATTGCCCATTGGACATGGACAGGCTAGTTAAACACTGAATAATTTCCCAAAGACACTACACTGTAGTGGTTAATATAAAAGAAATTGAGTTACTGGCCAAATTCAAGCTTGTTTTTAAATAAATGTAAATGTTGGAAAATGAATCAAGATTGGTTTAATAAACATTTAATGAGGATAATGGGATTTCCTTCATTGGGTTTTACAGAATACTTCCTTGGGTTTATGCTAATTTCCCTGGTTGGAATCTCAAATAATCAATATTGGTTTATAAACAATTAATTATGGATAACTGGATTCCCTTCATTGGGTTT